CCCCCCCCACACAGAGAGAGAGAGAGAGAGGAAGAGAGAGGCGACGTAGCCTCCCTCTCGCACCCGCCCACCCCCACATCCATACCCACACCAGTTGAGCTCATCACGTCCGGCAGCCAGTTGTGGAAAATTAAAACTTACGCAAGAGAGAGGGGCAACACAATGAACGGCTGCGCCGGGGCGTGGTGGGGTTGAGGCAGACAGGCAGACAGGCACACTCGGCAAAATCGTGCAGTGTCCGGTGTCAGTCGATCTTGTTACGAGATGGGGGGGATCGTGCGCAGGAAACAGCCGATACACATGCAAAAAATACATGCCAGTGAGTGTGCACGGGGGGAGGGGAGGGGAGAGGGAAGGAGAGTAGGTACGCCTGTGGGGTGAGCACCTGTCGGCCTGGCCTCTCTGGGTGTGTGTGTGGGTGTGCCTGCCTGAATCCATCTGACTGTCTGTCTCCTCTCTGCGGGTAAGTGAGTGAGACAGCAGTGAGAGCACGCAGCTGTCTGTGCGTGCCCTTCTAATATGTAAGTGACTCCGTCCCCGTGTGCAAAACATACACAGTCGCCTGCCCGTCTGCCAGCCTGCCTGCCTGCCGTTTGTTCGCTAGCTGGAGTGAGTGGAGTCGTCATCCATCGGCGTGGCGTGGTGTGTGTGGTGCGTCTTGCGTGCCAACCACAGACAGCCTATGGATGGATGGATGGATGGAGGATAGATGGACAGCCTCAATCGAGAGTCCTGGTCTTGACATGGTCTCATCCATCTCTCAAAATACGTAGAGAAGGTCGCCCCACACCCTCACACCACACGCCAACAGCACATCTCGCACTGCGTCCCTGCCTGCCTGCCTGGCTGGCTGCCCGCCTGCCTAGCGGGCTCAGCGACGGACAGGCACACAGAAAAAATGTGGCTGGCAAGTAGGTGGCTTGTGCCAGCTCTCGACCTTCGCACCGCACACACCGCAGTCCATCCCCCTCTCACCCCTGACTCCCTCCCTCCCTATACACGCACACATCACATCTGTCATTGCATCAAATCACCCATATCAAGGACAGAAAAGAAGCCCCCGGCGCGCACAACAACAAGCACGCTGGTGCCACCCTTCATAGTCAGGTCAGGTAGCCAGCAGGGACCCCCACAATGGGCAGGCAGGAAGGAAAAGTCGTCACTTGGCTGCTGATGCCTTGGGGATGTACTTCTGCTTGGTGGACGATGCGGCGGACGCCTGGGAAGCGGCGGTATCGTGTTGGCCGTCGGCCGCCCCGCACACGTCAGCAGCAGCGCTGTCCTGCGTCCGGTGCCCACCGCCGCTGTTGTTGCCGTTGCCGTTGCCGCGCCCCCGCCCGCCTCCAGCCACACCCCCACTGCCGTTCCCCCTGGTGGCCACGAGACCCCTCCCCCTGCCGCCCCTGTATCCCCCGCCGCCCCCACCCCGCTGCTGGCCAGCGCCGTCATGCGGCCCTCCCTGCGGCCCCCATCCCCCTCCTGACCCACCCGCCAGGTCTGTGTCTTTTGATGGCCACCCGGGATGGCGGTTCTTGTTAGGGGGGGGTCGTGGGTGGGGGTGGGGGTAGCCCTGCTGCTGGAAGTGGTCAGGGTTGGGGGACTGGTCGAGGGTGGGGGAGCGGTCTGGGCCGGTGGAGTAGATGGGCCGCAGGCGGTGCTGGTCGCGGGGGAAACGGGTGCGGCCTCGGGGCGGCTTGCCCGTCAGACCAAACTGACGATTCACCTGACAGACAGGCGACACGCATGGCCAATGCAACGCAGACACTGTCTGTCTGTCTGTCTGCGTGTTGGTGGTGTGCAGTGCATGTCATGTCACCAGTCAGTGCCTGTCTGTGCATACCATACCTGCTCCATCTCTTCGTCGATCTGGAAGAGGTCCCGCTCCATGTCAGAGTACACCTGCATGGATTGGATGGATGGATGGCCGACAGAGAGGCAGACGATGGATGGATGGATGGATGGATGGTTCGATCCCTCCCTCCCTCCCTCACTGTTTCTTGTGCTCACCTCTCTGTACTGGAGGTGGGTTTCAATCATCATCTTCGCCAGCGATACGTTGGCCCGCTTCCCGCACAACTCGTAGCTACACCGGTCGGGGTGGTACCTACACCAACACCACACACACCACAAACACCACACAACACACGGCACAAAGTGCACAAACCCATCAGGCTTGCCCCGTCCCCCCCCTCCCTCCTTTGCAGCCGTACGTACGTCATTTTGAAGATGCCGGACGTCTCGGCCACCTCCCTCTCAGACACCCGCCCCTTGTTGTGGTAGTGCATACGCCTGAACGGCCTCTCGCCACGCCCACCACCACCACCGTATGGGGGCGAGCCGTCATCGTCTCGCGGGCGGGGCGGGTTGAGCCACATGAACTCATCCTTGGTGAGGGTCACATGCTCGCTCACGAACTCAAAAGCCGCCCTGGCGCGCTCCAGGGTGTCTTGGGAGGGGCCGAATATCCTGACCTTCGCCATGCCGTCAACAGGGTCCAACACGCGAATATCAACCTGACAATAGCGACAACGTGTGTGTGAGCATGTGTGTGATAGAACCGACCGATCTCGCCCACCCACCCACCTCGAAGTCGCTTTGGATCTGCTTGATGTGCTCTCCGTTTTTGCCGATGTGCATGCCGACCATGCTCTCGGCCACCTCGAATTCGAGCTGCTCGCTCTCCTCGTACTTGGTGCGGCGGGTCTCGAGGGCCTTGAGCTGCAGCGCCCGGCTGTGGTTGTGCTTCTGAATGTGTGCCAGGTGGTTCATGTGGATATCCAGCATCATGAGCCCACGATCCAACGCCTTGGGGAAACCCAGCAGCACCAGGATCGGCACCTCACGAGTGCTGCCGCCCGACCCCTGGCTGCCGCTGCCACTGGTGGCAGCCCCGACCCCGCCCTCCTTGCCACCATTGTCCTTGCCCGACGCCTCCGACCCGCCGTGAGACGCGCCAGACCGCTCGGGTGCGTGGTTGTCGGTGGCCATGGTGACGATGCGGGCCTGGCCGACCCGCTTGTGGTGGTCCCCTCGGTGCCCCCCACCGGTAATGGGCGCGTGTTTGACGAGTATGCGGAGGAGACCGGCCTTTGCAGCGATCTGGTCGAGCTTGCCCCTGGCCTCCTCGGTGTCCAGCCAGTGGTGGAGTATCTCGGGGACCTCCCTGGAGCGTCGCTGAATCTTGGACCAGTCGACGCGCTCCATGGCGTTGAGCGGCCGCAGCCGATCCTTCTCGACGATCAGAGCTGGCGAGCCGTCAAACGAGACGAAGTAGAAGCCGTTCTTGATGTTCTGCAGGACGCCTTTCTGCCAGTAGGGGGGCGACTCGGGGCTGGAGGGGAAGGACACCTCGACACAGTCGCCCTCGTTGGGCTGCAAGTGCTGCGTGGCGATGGCGGGGTCGGACGCCCGCCGGATGGACGTGCCGCTCACCTCCCGCTCCGCCCACACGTCGCCCTCGAACCGAACCAACACCGTGTTGTCCGAGGGAAGGTCCTCAACAGTCACGGCATACCTGCACACACCAGGCAGGCGGGCAGGTAGACAGACAGATGGAGACCATGACGTCATCCCTCCCTCCTCTGTCTGTCTGTCTTCTGCGTATCTGGCTGCCCTGCCCTGCCCACCGCACAGACCCATACGTACCAGCGGTCTCTTGTTCGCGTGGAGGCGGGGTAGGTGGGCGTGGAGGAGCCTGAGCCGGAGAGTGCGCCGCCTTCGAGGTCCAGGTTGACCTCGAACTTGGTGCTGCTCTCCATCACTCCAACAGCAGTTAACGCTGAGTGAATGGTCAGAGACGGAAGCCTGCTACAGACGGTAGACAACGATGGGGGTGAAGAAGAACAGAATCGACGGCAGACACCGCTTCTCGCTCCCTCAGGCGCGAACCATTTGGTCTCGACTGCGAGCTAAGCAAGCGGGGGAGGGTCCTCTGTTCCTCATGGAATCAGGCTGTCTGCCACTCACTCAGCATCCAATCAGTCGCAGCATTCCAGCTCGTTATCCCGTCGCGTCTCACAGCCCGTCTTGAGTCAACATCCATCGGCCAAGTCAAGTCATCTGAGCGGCCTTCCCCCACATCACATAGGCGTCATGTCCTCCATCATCAATCAGCTGTCGCCCTATTTTTGTGCCGTGTGCACCCCCGTCAAAGGCAACACGCAGCTCGGCACCCTTGTCGACCAATCGGAGATTCAAATAAACGCCCTCCAGTTCCAAAACAGCCGCAGCCAACTAGAGGGTGAGCACACGACGGCATGCACAAGACGCAGGACACGCAGCCCACCTGATTGCGGCGAGGGGCAATACCTGTGATGTTTGTCAGCGATGATTGTTTGGTTGACTGTCCGTGTCTGTCTGTCTGTCTGCCTGTCTGTGCTGCAGAGAATCAGAGGTCTGTGGTGGAGAGGATTGTGAACAGATGGGCGGCAATGCTCTACAGGGTGACAACAATTTCCACGTCGTTATAAATTGATTCTACACGGATCTGCAGACAAGCCATCCATCGAATCGATTTGTGTCTCTCTTTGATCAGGGTAAGAAGTTGGAGGTGGTGCAGCAGATGATCCACGGCACGCAGGTTGTCCCGCTTGTCGTCACGCTGGACAAAGACCTCTTGGTACACACACACACACACACACACACAGGGAGAGGGAGAGAGAGAGAGAGGGAGAGAGACACGCAGAGGGGGCGATCGATCGATGGATGGCCCGTCCATCCATTTCTCTTTCCCTCCCTCCCTGTCTCCATGCACTCCCTGGCTGGCAGACTCTGGACATCGGCGGCACTCGTCAGTACCTCCGCAACCTCACCACCCTCAAACTCATCGACAACAACCACACCGCCACCGCACCACAGCCACCAGTAGCAGCAGCAGGAGCTGCAGCAGGAGCGAGTCGTGCCGCTTCGTTGCGTGGCACCCTTCCCCCGTCCCTCCCGTCGCGCGTCACACAAAAGGCACCGGTCGTGTATGAAGAGGAAGCTGAAGAGGGAGAAGACGATAAGCGAGCCGAGAATGCGCTGGGGCAGAGGCAGCAGCCGGCAGGGCAAGATGCTGACGGTAAGGGTGAGGCTGAAGGCGAGACACCGGTGGAGTCGCCAGTGCGCAAGCCGATGAAGCGTCAGGCGACGGGCGGTATGGCGCTTCTCAAGCGCCAGGTCACGGGGGGAGCCGCACTGGGATCCAGGTTCTCCAGGTTCAACCCTGACGACGATGAGGACGAAGACGAAGATGAAGACGAAGACGACGAGGGTGAAGCCGAGGAAGATCAAGGCGACAAGCCGCCGTCCAGCTCATCGAGCGCCAGTGCCAGCAGCCGCGACGCGTCACGAGAGACACAACAGCAGCAGCAGCAGCAGGACTGGGCGGAATGGCTGCGCCAGAGCCGCACGCGGCTGGGCACCTCGCTGGGCTTCAAGACCATCGGGTCCACACTGGGTGGCTTCGACACAGGGCGGTTCTTCAGCGGCCGTCCGTCGCTGTTGCGGGTGCGGGTGCACACCTATGACCTGGAGGCGGTGTTCGCTGGCGCCCTCGCCTCGTCAACGGTGAGATGGCGATTCGGCAACAGGACCGACAGACTGCACTTTGCCCTCGCCTTGAAGGTGCGTCGAAAAAGCGGAATGAGTGAAACAGTGGTGTATCCCCTGTTGGCGGCACGCTTGCTTGCTAATGTGTCTTGCTAAGTCAGATTCTCCGTTCGAGAGACCCGCAAGTCACTAAGATGGGTGTGTGTCATGTGGAGAGGACTCACGTGCCGAAGGAGCTGCCATTCAGCCCCACACAGAGTGAGTGAGTGACTGACTGACTGACTGAAGTGACACACAATACAGCACAGCAGAGAGCCTCTTCCTCTGTCTGTCAATTGGCGTAGGAGACCAGCATTTGTTTGCGCTTGCTCGCCGCGAGCATTTCGATCCGCAGCACGGACACACTGTCGTCCTCTCGTGAGGAAAAGGGGAGGAGACACGCACGCATGGCATGAAACGCACACACTATTTAATTTGTGTGACATACATATGCATGCATCGATACACGACATGACATAAATGAATCAGTGTAGTGGATCTGCTGGTGACCCGTGCTCTGCGCACGCCCTCGTCACAGCTCTATGTGGAGCTCTACGTCAGGTGTGTGTGTGTGTGTGTGTGTGGACTGAGAGAGACAGGTCACCTCACCTGCCGATCGGTGGATGGAATCATTGTGTCTGTCTGTCTGTCTGGCAGGTATCCTTTGGTTGATAAGTATCTGTATGTCCGGTCCAAGCCCGCCCTGCTGCCAGCGTGGGCACAGGTCAGTTGGTCAGCCATTGCACAATGTTGGGGCCACACCACACAAATATGACTGACATCCCTCTCGCGATGTGTGCGGTGTCAGTGGGCTCACGGCCCAGGAGGCAGCCAAAGACACAGCAGCATGCAGGCACGTACATCATGATACGCGCCTGAGTGCGTCAGCCACTAGCACTTTTGTGCCTTTTTGGCGTGTGCCTTTCCCCTCTCTCTGTCTGTCTGTCCAGGTCGATGTGGCGATAGAGGAGATATCGGCTGCTGAAGTGGACAGCTACGACCCTCACAAAGAGTTTGGTACACACACACACACCAGATCACTCTCATGTGTGTCGGTCGTGTCGGTTGTCTCGTGTTGTGTTTGTGTAAGTTGGCAAGGAGGAGGCCGAGATGCGGTCGGTCAACTCTGTGGCGCGGATTGCCTTCAACCTGCACAACGTCAAGGTCAAGATCCCCAAGTGCCCTCACAGCATATTCGGCCGACTGATTGCTACGGATGAGTACTTCCCCACAGCCATCGGCACATTCAGGGTCTGGAGACACACACGTGCACAGGGAGAGAAAGAGAGAGATGGCTGGCTGTTGACTGTACGCTATGCTCTGTGTCTGTCTGCAATTCTCTGGCTGCATGGACGAAATGCAGCTGAGTGTGGGCCAGCAGCATATGACGTACAAGTCAGTGGGGCAACACAGAAAGATGGAGAGCAGCTGTGAATGAATGTCTCCTTCACTCTTCAGGAGGCCAGACGACGAGCAATTGAGATCTCACGTTCGATTCGGACCAAGTGAGACGCAAATGGCCACCTGCAATCGATCTATTCATCTAGATCTGTCCTCCTCCTGCTTGTGTGGTGCAGTTGGTGGCGGTGTTGATGACGGTGGGAGGGGTGTGGGGCTCCCCAGACCAGAGGACACCCCAGGGAGCTCGCTCATGGTGCCCAAAGCACCCAGCGGCGAAGGTCAGTTAGTCAGCCAGTCAGGCGCACAGACAGAAAGACACAAGGTGAGACACACTGCACACCTGAATGAGCTATCGTGTCTTTGTTTGGTGTGCGATGTCCACTGATAGCCTCGCCCGCCGATAGCCTCTGCAGCCCGCGGGGCCCCCGGGATATCCATCTCATCGGTCGGCACATACATTGACTGACAGCAATCCATCCGTCGACGGATGCCGGCCGTGAGGTCTGTCTGACAGGTGTGTGTGTGTGTGTGTGTGTGTTGATGCCTTCGATCAGTTCACAGCGCGTACAAGGTCAAGGTGCGTCAGCAAGAGCAGCAGGCCATGGAGCTGCCCAGGTCAGGTGCCGGCGAGCAAGGCCCTCTCGGCAAGGCCGGCTTGGCTGTGCCAGCAGAGCACCACGCTCATTTGGCCCCCGAGGGCACAGCGCTGAGCCCACGCACCACTGCTGCCAATGAGGCCGCTGGTGCTTCCAAACCCACACACGTAAGCGACGCAAGCAGGGACGAAGGGAGGGAACCAACGATTGACAGAACGACGACTCTCTCTCCTTTCGCGACTGACTCTTACGGCTGCAGAGCACTGTCGAGCTGGGGCTCCTCAGTGTTCGGCTGTTGGGGTACTACAACGTTCAGTGACTGGCTGAGTGCGTGGGTGGTGCACTCAGCATCTCTTGGTTGGCTCCTGGTTCTATGCATGGCCGGCCTACCTGCCCGTCTTTCCTGACAGTCGCATGTTCGATTGTTTTGCATGCCCTTCTGCCATGGATGGAAAATGCATGGATTGCTGGACACCCCTCGAGCTCGTGTGTGTGCAATGCCATCACGGTAACAAGGCTCAACAAGGGATTGTATGCTGTGCGGGCGAGGGAGGGAGACAGTGTGTGAGCGTGGTTAAGTCCATTTTGAGCTGGTGCATCTCTCTGTCCCAGTGTCTCGTGTCTCTTCCCTCTCCCACAGTCCGCGACTCATCCGCACGAAAACATCAGAACAGGAGAGACAGGAGAAAGAAAAAGCCTCTCAGCACTAAAGAAAACCGAGGTGCCACGAAAAAAAAAACTCGATTTCTTTGCTAAAAAACAAAAAAAAAATTGCTCACTGTACCCTTCTGGTCTCTGTTATCTGTTCTGTGTTGTCATGCACCCATCCATGGCTGTCTACTACACTGCACCCTTCGGCTTGTCGGTTGTATCTTTTGGGCGGGCGGTTCACGTTGAGGCGAATGGCTTGTCGGCCCACTCTGCCCACTTCTTCGAACCTGCTCCATACATGTCATGAATCCATCTGTGTCGTGCGGTGGATGACTCATTTTACCAGGAAGGTAGAAGTTGTATGCGGTCTCGGTGTCGCCCTCCACCACGTAGGCCGTGGCCGAGTAGTTTCCCGAAATGGAGCCGGTTGAGCCCTCCGGGAGGGTCGCCTTGGCAAGGTTCGGGCGCTCCCGGTACTAAATCCAAGCATATAGACGCATTGCATGTGTGGGTAATCTCCTTTGACTCTCTCGCTGGGCACCTGGGGTTTCAAGGTGCACATCATTCCGCCCTGCTCTGCCGTCTCCTCGACCACCCGCTGTTCGCCGCACATCTCCTCCGCGGTGGATTTGTCGATGCACTTGCCGCGGAATACCGGGCGAGTCTTGTAGAAATCCAACTGAATGATGTCAAAAGAGAGGAAGGGTCCCAGCGCGTGCATTATCAAACATGTGTGTGGACGGACCTCAAACTCGGTGTACGTGGGCCCAGTGTTGTACACAGCGCAGATCTGATTCAAGCCCTCCTTGACTGTACAGGGGTCAACCATCTTGTGCGGGAGGTAGAAGAAGTTGACCGCACCCGGCGTCGTGGTGTGCTTCCGCGTCATCTGCACGCGGCAGACCTGGACGGCCCCGGCATCGTCATGGTGACCTGCATCGTGCAACCATCAATTGCATGCATCACTTCCATGTCGTTGATTGTGGGCAGCAGCAATACTGCCGCAACCTACCTGCCTTGCCGGCCTCTGCAATGTGAGTTTCCGTGTGCAGGGAACCGCCCCATGCGGCAGCAGTGCCAACGAGGAGAACCACCACCGCGACGGCGATCAACAGGCTCACGGGTTGTATTCTTACTGAAGATGGGCGAGCCAAACTAACACAACGGTGGCGACGAGAGACGAGAGAAGGCCCCCACGGCGTCGGGGCCTGCAGGCAGCCTCGCCGTCTCGACACCTTTGGCCTCTTTGGAGGCCATATCCATGCTCAGATTGACCGATGAATCATTCATCCATCGATCTTGGCAAGAAGGTCCAGAAGTGAATCATTCATTCAATCATTCGTTCATCACTGACTTATGCATCGGACGTGATTGAGAGACAAGAGAGACATGAAGACCGACAGTCAGAGACAGAGACAGAGACAGAGAGAGAGAATTACATACACAGAGAGAGAGAGAGAGAGAGAGAAGCGGGTCATTGCAGTTGTCCTCTTTGGCCTCTTCTGTGTCGATTCGTCGATTGCACATCATGATCATCTGGGAACGGACAACCTTCATACAATCGGACGTTGCCTCGGTGGGCAGCGAGGGCCTGGATAAAGGAGGGCAGGAGCCCACTGGCGGCCGGAAAATACCGGAAAACCGGAAACGGAGGCGCTCTCTGCCAGCCCAGCTGCCAAGAGACGAGGAGGCCGCATCGACAGATGAGGATGCGGGCGAGACGTGGGCCGATGCGCTCGACTTTGACGACTTGGAGCCAGATTACGATGCTGTAGATTGCTATAGTCGCCCGGCCTGTTTGCTTGCAGGATGGTTCCCCCGACGCTGCTTTGCTGCTGAACTGGGACAGGGATTTCTGCGTCTCTTTCTCCCTCTCTCTCTTTCTATGTGTGTGTGTGTGTGGGTGGGGGGGGGGGGTCTGT